CCTCATAAATGCAGTATAGTCTAGTTTTGTTTGTTGAGAATTTATCACTTGTTTGATAATATGTCCATCTTGTAAATAGATGATTCTGTCAGCATAACATTCAATATCAGGATTATGAGTAACCATAATGATTGTTGTTCCTATTTTTTGATTTAATTCAAGAATTAAATTCATTACTTCTATTGTATTTTTGGTATCTAAATCTCCTGTTGGTTCATCCATTAATAATAATTCTGGTTCATTTGATAATGCACGTGCAATAGTAACTCGTTGTTGTTCTCCTCCTGACAATTCAGAAGGAAGATGGTTCATTCGGTCTTGAAGACCAACTAATTCAAGAAGTTTAATTGTTCGTTCATGTCGTTGTTTTTTATTCAGTCTTCCAAGTATTTTCATAGGGAGTTCAACATTTTCATAAGCAGACATTGTAGAAAGGAGGTTATATGTTTGAAATACAAATCCTATTTTTTCTAGACGAAGGTTTGCCATAAAAGATTCTTTTGTTTTTTCATTGATTTCTGTTCCAAACATTGTAAGTTTCCCATGAGAAGGTTTATCAATTAACCCAATCATATTGAGGCATGTAGTTTTTCCTCCTCCACTCGGACCACGTAACATAACAAATTCTCCTTTTCTAATACCTAAAATCTCAGACTTACTACCAAATGAAATATCTCTAACAGCAAATACTGATTCATTTCTTCCTTCTATTTTATACTCTTTTTCAAGATGTTCTGCTGATACTATTACTTCTCCAAATAATTTGTTTTGATTAGAATTTATTATATTAGGATCAGTCAAATTTTCAATTTAAAGAATTATTTGATGAAGATAACTAAGTAATTTGATAAGAAGAATGATGAATTTGTATTTAAAAAGATTTAGTACCATTAATGAAGCATTCATTAGAGTTTCAAAAAATAATAGACTTAATAATAATTTTAAAAATGAAGCAAAAGTAAATACTGATACTAACACATCCAATTTTATTCATTAATTTTTGTTTACTTGAAGTAACTCTAAGAAATCATGAGGAATAGAAAATGTACCATTTACAATTTTTTTAATATTTATTAATTCTTCTTCATCATAATCATTCAAATTAATTTCTACAACTCTACCCGGTTCTTTGAATATTCCAAGTACATTAAATAATAGATTAATTCTTTCACTTGACATTTTAGAAATTTGATTTGTTAAGACTTCTTTTTCTTTTATTGTCATTTGCTTTCTTTGATATTTTGTTCCTCTAATTTTAGCCATTTTTTCTTTCATTTCTTCAATCTCTGCTTCATCACAATAATAGAAATTACTATGTTCATATATTGGTCGAACAGCTACTGGAAGAAAAGTAGGTGTAACACTAACTTGTTCTGGAAGTATTAATTTTGGAGGATTATTCTCTAGAAACGCAGAGTTAAACATTTTATCGAATTTTTTCATTAAATTAATAGCAGACTGATGTATTGAATTTTCAGAGGAATTATAAATTTTTGCATTTTCAAATATTAATTTCATATCTTTTTTGAAATCTTCTTTTGTTTTATATAGCCCTTTACTAAGTTTAATTGATACTGTTTCTAAATCCATTGGATGTTTAACAATTTTATAATAATCTAAAATATTTAATGCAATGGGATCTACTTCTGTTTTAAATGGTTCACTTTCTTGATTATTCATTATAGCACCTAATATTGATGAACATATTACAAGGTCTTTATTCATATGAAGTTTACCTGATACTACTTCAATATCTATTTCTTTTTTTCTAGAAATTTTTTTCCCATTTCTTGATTTATCTTTTAACAAAACAGAATTTTCTTCTTCAATGCCTTTCATTAATTTTATTCTTTTTGGATTTTTATTTGTCTTTCTTGAATATGAATGATTTACTTCTTTTTCTGGAATTGATATATCATCACTAAGATGGACTTTTTCTAAATAGTCTAAATGAAAACCTTGCTTTGTAGGATCTTCTTCATCTGAATGAACCATTGAAGAATTGTATGAAACTGGATGATCTCTAGATAATACCTGAGAATAACTTTGAGTGTTATTTATATCAATAGGCTGTCGAAATTGATCTAATGGACTTGGAAGTTTATTTTGTTGTTGTGTTTTTGTTTTAGTAATATTTTTAATAAATGGATTATCTCTAATACTTGGAAGTTCATTTGTTGGCATTTGACTTGTTTCATTTACTTGTTGATTAACTGATTTAGGTTGTACTTGTTGAAGGGGATTTAGATTATTAAAAGAAGGACGAAGGGGTGCGATATTAAGAGAGTTTTGTTGATGAATTGATTGTATGTTTTGAAGTTTGTGCTTTTCTTGAAAGGCAACTCTAAATGGTCCAAAACACGTGTTAACACACCCTAATCCTGTCCCACTTTGTTTTTTTCTTTCAAGCTCATCTCCTTGGTAAAAAATATTATTAATTTGATAAGGAATTGGTCCACTAATTTTAACTTCATCAAGTTCTTCTTCTGATAACACTACTGCTTCGTATGACCGTTGTTTTATTTTTGTTTGTTCAGCATCAGGAAACATTTCAGAACTTTCACCTATACTATCCTCATCGTCTATTGTCATTTCTTCAAAAGCAGGTATTTTGCCAGTGTCATCGGTAAAGGATAAAATTATCGGCTCACGGAATGGTTCTGTCATTGTCTAAAGTAAAATTAACAGTTTTTTTTTCAGACTCACGTAATGTTTGTTTCTCATCAATTGAAAAGAATAAACTATATTGTCAATTCAAATAAAATAATTCTTATTATTTTAATTATTAATGATTCCACGTCATTAATCATTTCAAGATCCAAAAAAATAAAATAAAAACAAAAAATAAAAATAAAAACTTCATCACGACTTTTCATCTTAAAATAATAAAGAAAGGCACATTAATGGAAATTGTTCATGACCAAAAATATTACGATTCTATTGCCTTACAATTACTAACATTATTAGCCCAAAATTCACTTGCAGAGTTTCATATTCAAATTGAATCATTACAACAAGAAGCTCATTATAATAATAATATTAAACAAGTTATTTCTATGGAACAATTCTTCATAGAAGGAAGATATAATCGTGTATTAGAAGGAGTTCAATCACTTCAATTAGGAGATATTTCATCATTGTTACCATTATTAAAACAAACATTAGTAGAAGCTGTTGCAGCAACAATAGAAACAGCTTATCATATTCTTCCAATTGACTATACTAAGAAAGTATTAATGATTTCAAATGATTCTGAATTCAATGAAGTAGTAGCAAATGTTTGTTGTTTAATATATTTCATTCATTTAATTAAAATAAATTTAATATTATTGTAGCATCAATGGAAAATTGAAGGAAATCAAATAATTTTTGAATTGCCTAAAGTGGATAAAAAGAAAGAAGAGACATTAAGTTCATTTGAAAATATTTCTGATTCACTTTCCTTGATTAAAGAAATGGATGAAATGATGTAATTTCATTGTTTTGATTCTTTGATTTATTTGGTTAATAAAAATAATAAACAAATGAAAGAGAAAAAGGTTTGTATTTAAAATATAATCATCTTTCTTAAACAAGATTTCTTGCAACTTGTTTTGCTCTTCTATAAATGATTCTTTTTGTAATGATAAAACCAAATAATAACACTAAGAAGATAAGGAAGATAATAATACCAACTGTAAAGAAGAGATTTTTATATAACCATTGACCAACATTTTGTACTACTTCAACTAATTCAACTTGTAATTTAAAATTTTGATATACTGCATTTATATCATTTCCATCTCCAATTTTAATATCTACTGTAACATAACCATCAGAAAGAAGTTGAATAAGATTAACAAAAGGATCATTAAACTGAATTTTTACTCTGACTTGATTGGAATTATCAATAGAAAATTGTGTTTGTTCTGTTTCTCCAACATATACTTTTTTCATGTGACTGAAATAATCACCAATTAATGTTACTATAGACCCTGCTTTTCCTTTTACTGGGTCTGTCCTCCATATATCTGGCCATTCTTCTACTTCGCCATTACATAATTCACTTTGATTCACACATGTAATTACTCCACCATATCCAGTAACACTAATACTATCTCCTGATGGACAAAGAATCCAATTTCCATTAACATTAACTCTATATCCTCGGTCTACACATTTTACTCTATAACAACTAAAGTCACTAATTGGAATAGAATATTTCATTAAACTAGATGAAAAACATCTTGAATCTTTTCCATATGAACTTCCTCTATCAAGGAATGATAATGAGGCAATATTTTCTGTTGATAATACACTCTTTTCATAACATTGACCTCCTGAAACTAATGTTGTGTGAATACAATAATCCATTAATTCAATCATCCCTCCTTTAGTTGGGTCTTCATAATTTTGATAAATTTTAGGCAAATCTTTACGAACAGAAGTATCACAAATTCCAATGGCTCCTCTATCAGGAGTACATCCCCTTGCTTGAGTCTCACCATAATATGGCGCTTGTGTTGGCCAATTAGAACATTTGAAAAAATCTTTTTTCATACCTTTACCCCATGTTAATGGTTCAGCAGCACTATAATTAACTGAATAAGTTCCTAGGTCTTCAAAATATGCCAATGTGAAATTAGAAATGACTGAATAAGATGATGCTGTTCCTGTCATAATTTCATTATAAAGAACTCTTTTTTCCCAATGAGCTCCTGCAGTTCCACTTCCTCCACCATCCTCAAACTCTACATATGAAATTGAATTATCACCAAAATGTTCTCGAGCAACTTTAAGAACTTTTTCACTGGTAACAACAGGTACTGTCTCTGTTCCTCTTCCTTTAGAAATAGACATCATACCAGTAGGTGATACAAATCCCATTGCATGCATTGTTTCATGAAGGACAGTATGGGCATTGATTCTGAATTTTCCTTCACTAACATCTAAATTTGCTGGATTAATATTTGTATAACCAAAAATATTTCGTTTCTGATTATTTGGATTAGTAGAGCTTGCATCAGCAGCACTTCCACATGATGCAGCATAAGCTAATACAGTTTGTGATTCAATAGGATGTGCCGTAACATACATTACCATTCCAATATCATCAGCAATTGAGCTATCTTTTATACTAGAAATTTCTCCACATCTATCTTTATCTTTTATACTTGATTTTAATGTGGCTAACGTTCCTTTATGTACTCTAAAATATTTCTTAATTAAACGTTGTACTTCGTCTATAATCTATTTGATTAATTCATTTATTTTATTTTTTTTTACACAATAATAAAACTAACTCTTATAATATATGCCTTTTTCTCTTGTGTTAACAAATTATCTTGTGTACAGGTTCCTGATACAACAAAACAAACAGGTGGAGTACTTACATATCCACTACCATAATTTAATGCATTAGTATCAAACTTAACATTTAATGGAACCCATTCAGAGTCATCACTTGCTAATTTTCTTTTTGGATGATACAATGGACTTTCTGTTTTTTGTTGTATTTGAGAAAAGATACATTCAGCGAATGTAAATGAGATGAGTAGTAATACAATCAACATAGTATTATTAATTCAAAGTTTTTTTTTATTTTTCTTCTTATATAGTTTCTTAGTTTATTATTATTT